CCTTACAGGTTGGAACTCAGCCATCCTGTAAAGGAAACGCCAGTTTAAAGGAGAATCTATTTTTTTAAGTTTGTTGATCCATTTCTGAAGTTTGTTCATGACCCTTTCATGTATTCTTGCGACCCATTTTTGGGTTGTGACCCATTGGTTGATAAACGCTGGTTTAGCAGACTGGGGTGGTCATAGAAGTAGCTAAGCTTTCAGGGCAAAAAACTTGGTCAAAACAAGCATGACTGAAAACAACACAGAATGAACATTGGCCAAACTTGTTTCCTGGCTTTACCAGACCAGTAAAATCACTTATTTAATCTTTTAGTTTAGAGAACACTGAAAAATTTTAAATGAAAAATAACTGTCCTCTTTCTTGTAAGCAGGTAAAAGTGATCAGTTACACTTGGTAAGAGATGATGAATTAACTGGTTTATGGATTTGGGAAGCATCACTAAAAACCTGGAATGTACAAAGGGGAACTGTGCTTAAGGTGACTGTCAAGTGCTTAATGCAGGGGTAGGCAACGTTTTTTGGCCGGAGTGCCAAAAACCCCCACAATGCCTACCTTGGAAGGTGCCAGAGTGTTGGCATGCCAGAAAAACAAAATGAGGGCAGGGGGTACATGGCAGGATGCCTTGCTTGTGTTCCGTGCCCCCCACCCAAAGCCCCTGTCCCCCAGCCCTGCTGCCCCTTGCCCCCCCACTCAAAGCCCCTGTCCCCCAGCCTGAGCTTTGTGGCTGTCAGCAGCTACTCTGGCTCTGGGTAGTTGGTGGAGCCTGGGCTGTTCCCAGCAGGGCTTCCAGCGTCCCAGCTGCCTGCTGGGAGCAGCCCAGGCTCCCAGCTGGCAGCAGCCCAGGCTCCCAGCTGGCAGCAGCTACCCAGAGCCAGGACTGGCTGCAGCCAGCTGTGCTGGGCTCCGAAGCCCAGCATCAACTCTGCACTGGCATCGACTGCACACGCATGGAGCTGATGCCAGAGTTGTGGAGCCTGGCACAGCTGTTTGCAGCCTGCCTGCTGCTTGCTGCAGCTGCCCAGAGCCCAGGCTGGCTACAAACAGCTGTGCCGGGCTCCGGAGCCCCATCACCAGCTCTGTGCTGGAAGCAGGGGAGAGACCAGGGTTGTGTTGCCTCAGGCTTCTCCCCCACTGCCCGCTCTGAGGTGCATGTGCACGCACCGGTACAGGGCTGATGCCTGGGCTCCAGAGCCCAGCACAGCTGTTTGCAGCCTCCCAGCTATAGCCGACCCTGGCTCTGGGGAGCTGCTGCTAGCCGGGAGCTTGGGCTGCTCTCACACTGCACACCCTGCCGGGAGCAGCCCGGGTTCCGTTGCTGGCAGCAGCTACCCAGAGCCGGGGCTGGCTATGGTGTGCCAAGCAAAACGGCCTCGTGTGCCATGCTTGGCCCACGTGCCAGGGGTTGCCGACCCCGGTTTAATGCATTAAAGTATATAGATCCAGATCCTCACACATCAGATGACCTTCACTGATTTCTACTAGCTGAGGAGCTGGCCACGGGTAGCCAAGGTAAATTCTAAAATTGTTAGAGAAATATTAAAAAATGGTATGTTAGTCATAAAAGTAAAGACACCAGGTTTATTAGAAAATGATTCCCTCAGTAGTAATACAAAGAGGCGAATCTGCAAATGTACTAAAGCAAACAATGGATATGCCATTTTTGGTGGACATGCTTACTTAATTCTGAAAAAAAAATATTGAAAAGGCAGGGGGTTGCTGGACCATAGTAAGTTGGTTCTGATCCCATATCAATGCTTTTGTCAGTCCCTAGCAAGGCATTTCTTGACCTATGAGGGTCAAAATAGATAGCTGAACTGTACAAGAAAATAATTCAGCAGG